GTGTGTGTGTGTGTGTGTGTGTGTGTGTGTGTGTGTGTTAGTTATTTCTTTCGAGTGTTTTGGTTGTGTTAAGAGCTTACTGTATTTACTGTATAATTTGCTCACGTGTGAAGCTTAAATCTTTCGAACTGTTAATCAGTTTATCATTTCATACAGGACTTTTTTCATACACATTAAGTGATATCATGAAGTGTTACTCACCACAATAGGCAAATTTAAGTGAGAGGACACAGCTTTCGTGAAGATGCAGCTGGTATTTGTCAGGCTTGGTGTGATGGAGCACCTCCACGTTGCTGCTCTCCATCCCAACAGCAAGCCATTCTCCAGTGGGACAGTAACCCAATGAGAAGATCTGGAACAAGGACACAATAGTGAAGTTAAGGGACGTCTGCTTCACGATTTAAAAACACAAGGAGCCAAATGTCACAGTGTAGGTTGATACTAAACTTGTTAAGAAGCTGTATTTTTTTTTTATTAAAAACTTCTGTCTACCTGTGAGGTAAAATCGTGTTGCTGGAGCTGTCGGCCTTCCCTCAAATCCCAGGAACGGACAGTGTTGTCAAGCCCCCCTGTCCACAGTTTGGTCCCATCATGGGAGATATCGATGCAGCTGGCGCCATCTGTGTGACCCTGAAACTGCCTGGAACACACACAACATATATACGTCGAAAAACAAGAACAAACGTAAAAGTATTTCTTTTACTCTTTAAAAACAGTCAAATAGAAATAACCTATATTGTGAGACAGTTTGGTGTGTCACGTCAGCCTACTACCCTTTCAATATACATACACATGAGCAATAAGCTGCTCAGTTAAGAGTTTTTGTAATTTCCTTTAAGTGAAATCAGACGTTTTGGGTAAAAATAATCAAATTTTGTTTAAAAGCAAATTAAAATGAGTAATTTTTTTAACAAATTATTTTAATGCCTTCAGGTTTTTCTTTTTGTGTGATCTGTGTCGGATTACTTTAAGCACAAAGAACTGCCAGGGTTTTAAGTGATTTCTATATAATGCTGTGTTATAATTATACAATTAAATGGATAAGATATGCACTTTAAATAAAGCTCCTTGTGGTCTTATGCAGATTAAACTTAATGCTTCACAATAAGAAATATTTCTCAGTCACAAAAACACTCATAGTTCTCATTTTCTTTGATAATGAAGTCAGTAGTGACCATGTAACATAACTTACTATAAATGGATCAAATCTGTATTAGTTAAAGGTTATCACATTCCCTGTTAAGGCAGTTCTGTTTACGTTTAAAAATATTATAGATAACTGATGACACATTGGATAAAATCTGAACCACTACAACGTGTAATTCAGTTCCCAGGGTCTTGAAAACTGAAGGAGTGACACATTTGTTTTGTTCTACATGAAGCTCGACAAAAATATATCCCCTCAAGCAAAGTACTCACCTGACAAGGGTCTGGTTATGGAGGTCCCACACAGCAATGTTTCCATCAGAGCAGCAGGAGAAACAGACCTTGGCATCGGGGCTAATGGCCAGTGCGTAACAGGCTGGAGCAGAGGAAGTGAGCTCGGCCTTTATGCGGGGCGTCTGCGAGGCCAGGTCCCAGATGGTCAACGTGCTGGCTTCACCGCCCACTATTAGGGTGCGGCCATCAGGCAGCAGCTTGCAGGAGCGGATGTAGTTGTCTCTGTTCTGGAGCAGAAACAAAGGCAGAGCGTTGTCAGTTTTAGTGACTGAATGCTTTTTTCGTTTTCAAAATAAAAATAATTAGAACAATAAAGCCTATTTAAATCATGTTGAGCAGTATAAACAAAAAACACAGTGCCTCTTAAGAGCATTTATTTTAAGACGAGTTTCTTTTTTTCCAAGCTGCTGACTTCAATGTTAGTGAAGATATGAATGTCAGCTTTAACAAGCCCTACAGAAAGAGAGAGTAAGGCTGCAGGCAGGAACACTCAGGCTCTCTGAGAGCAGCAAGACAAATCAACAGYATTACAGAAACTATTGGTCAAATTAAAACAACACCCTAATGGCTTTATAAAACCAAATAGCACCCTAGACACACCTAAAGGGTGTGGGAGGCCATATGAGTTGAACGGCATGAAGCCACAGCATCAAAATGAGAAACGGGAGGCAGTTTGGAGGAAGTAATGAGCTGGGTAATGGCAGACAGGGTTGGCCAATCAGAACATCATTACTCAGCAGGCTTCTTTTTTTCCCCCCTCCACCAAGGACAATTTCAGCCCAGCAGTGAGACATTTTACAGAATAATTCACATCTTTTATCTGTTGGGATCTGTGGCCAGCTGCATCGAGAAAATTCATAATAAAAGGAGACTATTCAGAGATCTAACGAAACAGTTCACTGTCTCTGCCATGGTCGAGATCATTAAACATTTACAGTTATAAAATAATCTGAATGTCACTTTGAACAAACACGTCATTTTCTCTTCCTCTGACTACAAAACAGCAACAATTACTGACCAAGCAGTCAAGTTGGGAGACTGGGCTCTTGCTGCCTGGTTGGCTGATGTCCCAGATCTTGACACAACCTTTGCCACCGGTGTAAACGTGACGTGTGGGGTTGCTGATTGTGACTGCACACACCACCTCCCCGTGGCTCAGTGTGTTGATCTGGCGAGCGTGACGTGGGATGCCCGGGCCTATCAGTGCATCTGGAGGGAAGGGCACGGGCTGCATCTGACCATCTGCACTTACGTGAAAAGAATAAGCACTGCAGAAAGAACAAAAAAAGGAATAAGACAAATTAGTGTTTAAAATTGAGTCGAATGAAAACAATTCCTGAACACAAAAATAAATAGTAAATACATACGGTTTTCCTCCTGAAATGGAAGTGAGACTTGCTGGAAGGCCTGGCGCTCTCATGTGAGGGTGAGGGTCGAACCCTGCCTGCACGAGGAAAAAACAAAAATACAAAAACATTTTCAAGTTGCAGGCAATTCGTGACGTTAAGTGCTAAAAATATAAAGAAATTTTAATACCACTGTTTACACAATATTTAAAAAAAGGTGCAGATTTGGCTTCACTGTGTGCAGACAAGCTTGATCCATAGATAAAACATTATTTAAAGGCTGGGGATTTTCAGACCCCCTTAATGCTAAGTAACATTTTTAAAATGCTGCTGAGCTGTTTAGTCTTACAAACCTCTGTCAGCAAATCAGGAATAATCATAGTAAGTTTAAAACGACATAATGAATGTTTAAGTCAGTTTTTACTCAGGGCTGGTGAGGATTTGTGTTAAATTGCTGCTTATAGAATGAATTACTTTAGGTGGGAGAAGAAGTAACATCATTACATTTCTCAAATTCACCTGGGCTTAAAATCATTTCAATAAAAAGCTATGGTTAATTACAATTGGTGAGCGTCCATAGGCAGCAGCAGCGGCAGCACTCATCTGTGGTGAAATGAGTCCTGGGTACATGCCAGGACTGGTCAGGGACCCGTTTATTTCATGATGACCCATCATGGCAAATGGGGTGGCATAAGAGCTAGCGATGGACAGAGGTGTCCGCAGGGCTGGAGCAGCTGAAAACAAGAGAAGAAAATCTTTTAAAATGATATACTGTGAGAAGAGCTTTAAGGTGCACAATGTGCTTTTGTTAACAGTTTTATTAGTTATTTTTCAAGATCAACAACTTTTCATATCATACAGTCAATCTTGTAAACTGTTTGCTTGCTCGGTTATAACTGTGTAAAATGACTCAGTGAAAAATGAATTATAAAACCCAGAATTGTCAATTATTACCTAATGCCTCCATCCCAGGTGGTTTGCCCATAGGTAAAGGGCGGAGTCCTGGAGTAGTACTGGTTCCTGGTGTTGGCGCTTCATTTCTTGGAGTAGGTGTGTTGGACTTGAGACTCGGTGTTGATGACTTGTCATTCTATAATAAAGATAAGTTTTTTTAGCCTCAGGGAACACTTTTACTGAAACTTCCAAGTTCCCTTACTCTTGCTCAAATGTGCAGCTGGAAACAAATTAAACTATTTCTGTGCCAACTTTTTAAAATCCGCTTATGAGTCAAAATACTCACTGGCACAAAAATCCACAGTGACAATCCGAGTGGCCTGCCTAAGTAAATTCAATCCAACACAAACACTTTATCACAGTCATAATGTAATAAAGAGTGTGAGAGATTGAGAGTCGTCGGGACATAAACCTTTGAAAAGAAGCCATGTTTGTGGCTACCAGTAGAGACACATGCTCATTACACCTGGGCCTTCTCTGCTCTATTGGTAAGATATGGTAGAGATTAAAAATAAAATGGACAGCGGTTTACCCGCTGTTGGGTCTCTAGGTTATTTACAGCCTCGGGGGCGATGGAGAAACAACCATTTACTGGGTAAGCCATAAAGGAGATGGATAGGACTGAGCCATAAGGTTTGATTTCCTGAGAATACATCTACCTTCTGCCCCATGAAATCCTACACAGCAGTCAGCTCCTAAGCCAACGAATAAATCRTTCACACACCCACTTCACTTGACAAAAGCTCTTTAGTCTCTCAGTGTAGGCTTCATCCCTCCACTGTAACCTCTGTAAACTGTTCACCCTTCGGCTGCACTCACATGGGCGTGGTCCTTTGCCTTGGAGGACGGTGTGCTGCCTGAAGAGGCGACGGAAGCAGGGCTGTTGGGGGCAGCGTCCTTCTTCAGCACTCGTGACTTATCCAGGCCGTTTTCTGGAGGAGAGTGAGCAGGGCTGACTCGAGGGGTGGCCGGATCCTACAGAGTTAAACGAGACAGACAGAGAGCAAGACTGAGCAAACACACCGGAGGAAAGCCACTGGCATTTACATGTAGGTCAAACAAGCTGGGCCCTCGTGTGCAAACACAGATAAATACACTATGTATGCTCATACTCTCCCTCACACACATGCATGCACTTCTCATTCACCTGTCACACCCTTTTCTCTTTGTGTTCTTTGTCTTAGATTCTGCATGAATGGCAAAAGGAAATTCAGCGAGTAAACACACACTCAAAGCACACAATCAATATTATGACAGACTTTTTGGCAACACGGTGAAAGGTGTTGAGGCTTCTACAGACAAAAGGGAGCTGTGTTTGGTCTCTGCAAATCCTTTATGGTGTAGAATGTGGCTGAGCGGCTTAAACCCCCATCTTACCTCATTGGAAACATCCACCACTAAGTCATCGCTTTTTTCTCCATCACTGTCCTGAAACACAGAAATACCAGGTTTAGTGTAGACAGGTGAATATAGAAACATGATACTGGAATCTGTGTGTGATATTTTCACAACTATTAATGTCAAAACTGTCAGATTCATGGACCAATTTGTTTACCGGTACTTTATATTCATAGAAATCAAAGATGGATGACCTGTTTTACAAATATTACTAGCAGGTCTTTTGAGTCCCCAGAAATTATTTACAACCATTCAACTGAGGTTGTACACTGAAGTAAATAATCTAACAACTAATCTGCACATGTTTTGGATGTTTTTCTACTTTGACAAGCACCTGGATGAAGTCAAACTTAAAGTAACTCCCAAACTAATATCAAGCTCGGAAAGAACAGCAAACTCTTCACAAACACAAACACTCACATATCCTCTGTTGCTGTCTTTGTCGTCCACTTTGCGTTTCTTGGAGTCAAGGCCGTAATCTGAAGAACTGCGGTGCTTCTCGCTCGCTACTCGCAGGCTGTCTGATGGCGACACCGAGTTATTCTGCCACAAACAGTGCACAGACCACATCAAAACATGCTTACTGAGGTAGCTTAGCATCCTCACATTTTAATAGTATATAATCGATTCCAACATGTGCAGATTCATGTACTGTGTCTGCTTTAACCACTTTTAATGCTTTCAGTCAGATAATGYTTTGAGGCTTAAAAGCAGCATGTGAAAAACTGTCAACAAAACAGATAAGCTAAAAGGGAAAAAAAGGTGCGTTTACATCCAGACATGCCTCATGGGTACTTATACTTTGTCAGATTAGTAATAATATTGACAGTAAAGCAAAATGCACAATGCTCCTGGGCTGATTTGGGATAGAGGGAACAGAAGAGGATTCTTGGAAAGCTTAGCCCTGTCACTCTTGCCAACGCAGCAGAGCAAAGAGGAAACAAACAAGGCAGCTGAGGAAAAACCACAAAACAGAGAGACCAAAAAAAAAGAACTAACTGGCAAGGTGACTTGTAGACAGAGTGAAGGTGGAGAGAAAACAAGAACACACAAACTGACACTACATCCTATAAAATCTTACTTCATCCTGGTAAAAGCCCAGATTAAAGCTACATCAGCTGTTTCAATCATACAGGCTGCATTCCAGACTGAAACCAAGCATTTAAAAACAAAAACTGACGACACTCTTACTCTGCTAGCACAAAACTCTGCTTATAGGTCTGTGTTGTAACAGGTCAAACTACAAAAAAGACCAACAACAAATTCATGAAAATCCTCCAGAAGAAAAAATAAAGAGGCCATTGAGAAATCCAGGACAAGAGAGCAATGTGGTGAGACAAAGAGGGTGTTGCCTGCAGAGAAGAGTCATGAAAGGGCCAGAGTGAGAAAATTAGAGGAGAAAAAAAGGAAAAAGAGACAAGAGACTAAAACAGGAAAGGAACTTGGCAGGCAATAAGAGCAAAACAACGTGCCAATGAGTTTTCCCCACTAGTGGGAATGCCCAGAAAGTCTGGCACCTTCTCAGAAGCTGCAAACAGGGTTTTTGTAGTCTGGGAGTTGGTGTGGTGTGGTGGCACAGCCAATCAGATTGAAAGGCAAAAAAAATGGATGGGTGGGGATGAAAACAAGCAAACCTTGATGTCAGCTCATAAAGAGATGCCTGCAATCATCAGAAACCGAGAGATGTGGTGAAAGAAGGAAGATGTCTGATTTGTGAGACCCCTGAGCCAAATGGTCAAGAGCTGGACTTTTTAACTGTGATTGAGCTACTAATGGTACACTCTCAGACCACCTCCTTTACAAAGAGTCACTTTTCCTGTCTACTTCTCAGGGCAAAATATGGGAATTTKTTCAACTGCCAAAAAGAAAGCCTGGCTTAGTGTGATGCTGTCTGTCAGACAAAAATCTCTTACAGCATTACAGCTTGTCTGTGTATCTGAGCCTGAAACCTTTCAAGGATTGCTTAGTCTCAGTAACCCTGCACTTCCCTTCAACTGCGGTATCAGATGACCCGAGACAACAGAACAGGAAGACTGAGTGTGTGTGTGTGTGTTTGTGTGCTAAACAAGCGAGAGAGCAGAGGGAGGCTGGGAGATCAGGTACGGTGCTATTGGCAGCCGCTTGTCACCAAATGAGAAGAGGGAAGAGTTTGGGTTCCCTCCTGACATGAGTGGGCCCATTCAGGAWGGCCAGTCAATGGGAACCTAATCTGTTTGAGCGGATCCAACAGAGCGTTACGCTCCAGCTAACTGAGAGCTTTAAGCCAGTCCAATAAACAAGGACTTTAACATGAGAAGGAACAGAGAGATAGGGACAGCACAAGACAGAGGAGGAGGGAGACAAGTGATGGGAACAGGTTCATCACTGAGGCAAAGCTGGAAATTTTAGGATACACAAAAGAAAAGTGTTAAAGCTGTATAGAATTTTATGCACGTTGAGACACAAAAATCTGTAAAGTCTCTAAAGTGGTAAGAAAACCAATAGTCTAAGTCACTTTTAATTGTGTTGAAATAAAAAAATAGCAGAATACTAATCCTTGTCCAGTAATGGGAGTCATTTTCCAACCAGATAAGACAGCAATTGTTTATTTGCTCAGTCAGATTATAACCCCTGACTACAAGAAGGTGTGTGTTCTTACAGAGAGAGCATGAATTTCTATTAGACCGTGGGTTTAGGTCTATGTAAAGTACACTTAATCACCAAGCACAGTGATCCAAGAACAGGAAAAGTCAAGAAAAGCACAGAAGTCAACGTACCGTGCTGGACTCTCGCTCTTTCAWAGGAATAGCCAGAGGTGAGTGAAAAGATGAGGGGCCAGGAGGGGGAAAAGCAAAACACAAATTAGTATGGAGATAACAATAACTCTGCAATCAAAGCACATAAACAAACAAAAAATCACTCATGTACCTCAAAGAACTCTCACATTTAAAACCTGGTTTGATTAGGTTCTCTAAAGCTCATATTTGGAAACAACCTAGTTTTATACAGGTTAGGTATTTGTTTTGACTTAAAAAAAAGGGAAAATGGTCTAAAATAGCTTCAGGCTTAATTAGTAAGTCATTTCAGTATATAGCAAGAAGTTATGAAAGATAAACAACATGCATAAACAAGAAATCTTAAAAATAATTTAAAAAATGACTCGACTACCACAAATCCCAATATTTTAGATTAATATAAACACCAGCATTGTCAAGTTAAAAACTACCTACTAGTTCTATAAATAACTCTGGTTCATGTTTTTGTGGGAGAAAATATATTTGGCCGGCTGTGCTCCTCACCTCGATGCTCCAAGTCATGGTGGTTCTTCTCATCCTTTACAGGCAGGTGGGCCTGGCTCCCAAGAGCACCCAGAGCCAGCAAACCGGAGCCAGCACCTGTCACAGGGGGGATGCCAGGCGGCTGCAGGCCTGAAGGGTGAGGAGGTAGCTGGACCGGGGGGCCGTGGGCAGCGTGAGAGAGGTGCTGTGCCTGAAGCTGCTGCTGCTGTAAACAAACGCACAAAGACAGGAGACAAGACAGAGGACAAGTAGGTCAGCTGGGAAATGACTCCATGAATGACCATGCTCTACAGCTGGCTTTGGCAACGTTTAGCTCAAAACCAAACTGTTTATTGTCAATAGTAGATTAACAGTCAACGCCAGCATGCTCCTGCAGCTCACTCACTGGCTGATTAAAAATAGAAAAATCTGTTTGTACACTTAACAATTATCTGCCTCAGAGCAGAGGACGGCAGAATACGATAAAAACTTACTTACTCTTATGCACACTAATGTCAACAAGTTATACAACAAAAATCATAAAGTACCCAAGTATAGCATTTTCACAAGTTAAAACAATATAAATGATTTATTACAAGCAGATTATGAGTGTTTTCTAAACAGCGGTGGTTAAAAATAACAATACAAAGCAGGTTACAAGTTTCTAGGCAACACGTGATATTTATACCACAGTAATACACTCTGATGATTCATTTATGCTATATAAAACCTCACAATAGTAAATACATACCAGTAAGTGAACGACAAAACTATAATTGATGTCTTTCAAATGAGTCAACATGCATTGCAATAATAAAAACCTTCAAAAAACAGAAACAAAAACTAGTTTGAAGTTCAGTAAACAGCTGCAATATGTTGATATTTAATTATTTAAAGTTCTAAATATAAAACTTGCCACTGATTACTGTGTTAACCTGGCAGCGTTAGAACAAATTAAAGTTGACTAAATCAGATTTGTGCAGAGGTGAATGAATGAGCAACAGTGACTTTATCCAGATTTTTTTAAAGAGGCCTGGGTTCTTTTTACAATCCCACACACAAGTTTTTCTCTCCTACTAATATTACGTGACCTTCAGAGAGATGCGTTTTGATTCAACAACACATCACCTCTGACCACCAAAAATGATATCAAAGAGTTTTGCTCAGTCCCAAACCGCTGTGCTTCAATCATAGCTAAAGCAGTAAAGAAAAAGAAAAAAAAAATCAATAGGTCTACACTTGAAAACCTCAAAATCTTTCAACACCCTGAAAAACCAAGCGAGCATGCCCTCCTCCAGCAAGAATACAGCTAAGCACAAAACAGTTGGGAACACAAACATCTCCCAAGAGGCCATGAACGTCTGTGAGAGGCAGCCAGAGTGAAGAGAGTAGATAGACGGGAGTTAAATAGCCACTCAGGCAAGAGGGAAGYGAGTGCTTTAAAACGAGGTTAAATAACACTTAGCACATCCATCAACTGCCTCTCCAAAAGGGAGGGGAAAAAAAACTGATTGCTATTCAGCTTGTAAGATTGAACTTCAATAACCTGATCCATACATTCATTACATAAAATGGAGAAACTAGACCTTGGCATACAGTATATAGTGGCTTACCACATTTAAAAGTTTATTTAGAAGCTGGTCATTATTCAGTCAGCTCATTATGTCGAGTTGGACCTGAAATTGTCTGATGGATGCTAGCAAAAGGGCAGCATTGTTAATCGATATTGTACTGGGGTGCGGAGCAGCCTCTTTGTTGTGGAAAAGGAGAAAAAGCGGGCAAAAGCTGAGAGATGGAAGGCGCAGCCAGAACAAGATGAGGAGGGAGAAGCGAATCACAAAAATAACAGGGGAATAAAAGACAGAGTGGGCAAGGGTTTGAGGCAGGGACGTCCCTATTGAGTGTGCCTAATGAGGAAAAGCATGCAGGGATCATTATCAAGAAGCCTCATTAGCGTGCTGTAGCTGAGGAGAAGAGAGACGAGGGAGGGGAGTCATGAGCGGTGGACACAGAAAAAAAAAGAAAAAGCAAGGGAATAATTTCTCAGAAAATAAATTGCTTCCAACTCAATATTCATGAATACCAAGCTAGCTTTTCTTTCACACGGATCTTTTTTCATTATGTGTAAACGCTGCAGCAGTTTTGGTAACTTCCGTAGGAAACAGGCAATTAAAGTTAACTAGGCAACGCCGGTTCCCTGCTGAACAGTACTGTCAGGTGGAACAAGCATCAACACTGACAGCAAAAGCCGAGTGGAAGACTGACTAATGTCTGGCAATGATCACCACAAAACATGCTGTGTCTCACATCGGTTTTGTAGCTCATCATATTTTCTCCAGTATTTGTGCAAAAATAAGCCAACATCCTACAATACAAATGAACATAAAAATAGGACAGAGACAAACATTTCTGGGGTTTAGTAGCCATAGTTTTGTCTGATCTGTCAAATGACAAGAACTTAAAAATACCCCCGATCCAAGTTTTCCGTTGTCTTCTAAAAGCACCCTTAAAAACAGCTATTTAATCACATTAACTCTGAACTCTCCATAAACATGTTTCAGACAATAGGGTTGTGCAAATAATCAAGACTAAATTTCTGTTGATTTTCACTCTTAACGATCCCAAAACCAAATGTAATCAAGATCACAGAAACATTCTTGAGATTATTTTTACAATCTGTTTTGAAAGCATTTGTTTGTGTTTATCATTCCATAAAGTAGCCTATAATTGGTAGGGATGCACCGATATGAAAATTCCAGCCGGTATGGATATCCAATATAATTACTGCTGTTATGGCCGATAACTGATATTTACCGATATTACACAAACACACAAATTATATTATACATATATGCACAAACACACTTGGGTCTTTTTTGATACCGCAAATAAACAACCAGACATCTGACATGGCTCTACTTCAGTTATTCCTGGCTGTGCAGCGTCAATATCACTATCATGATCAAACAGAGCTGCTCAACCAACCATCCCCTCCTCCCAAAACAGAAACACAAAGATAAACAATGTGGGAAATCAATATCGGACAATAAATATCGGCCCAGTTTTAAATATTGGACCGATACTAATATTCTTTAAAATGACCAATATCGGCCAATGCCGTGTATCCCTAATAATTAGATGACTTTTTGGTCAGTTTCATGTTTTAATGGAAAGCCCAGTCGAAAGATAAAAGAAAATTTTACATTCAAGGCAATTTACTGTTCTTTAAATGCAATAAATGTGATGTACTCCTAAATTTCACAAGCAATCATCCTAAATAATGGATTTTGTTATCAACCATAAACATGTGATTATACTTTTTGGCCATAAACTAGCAGAACTATTACACACCATGAGTTTTCTGCTACTGCTGGGCCAAGCAGAGATGAAGTGGAAGAGATTCAGTAAACCCTACTAGCACAATCTTATTGCATGGGCTTATTCAGACTTAGCACCAACATCTGTTGTGCGTGATTTAACTGCATGTGGACAATTCTGATTGAGAGCATTCACACCTGCAGTTAAATATCCATCCTAAAATCTCTGTGAGCAGATGTCAGTGACCTGCTCTGTATGCAGATAGATGCAGCCATGTTAGGCAGAGAGTTGTCAGATCACAAAACTCCACCACAACAAAACGAGCTGCAGCCATCACCTGTTCTCTACACAACTGTGAGCACAGCTTCAGCATTGTTTTTAAGGTGACTATAATCTGCCATAATGCTGCTCAGACTGTTTTGTGACGGACAGAGCACGTTGTAACTTACAGTGATCACAGCAGGTCCAATCAGGTCTAAAAACAATCAGAACACAATGAAAACAGACTCATCACACAGTGTTTTGTTAGTCCACTCTAATTAACTGTGATTCTATGGGGTCACGTCAGGTCAGTAGGTGGTTTCACAGCTTGGCTCAGGACACAGTTTTCCCTCTAACATTATCCAAGGAGTGCACCCTGCCCTGTTAACAGAACCAAATTATCAAATTATCTATTTTTCCCCACAGCTGAAAGCAGTTTATCCATTTGTCTGTAAATTGTAATATTAACAAAATCTAATTGTCTTCTAAAATTAACAACCCAAATATTTAAAAAAAACTTATCAGTCAAGCAGTTCCATATAAAAAAAAAATACAACATCTACAAACTGACATTTTAGCAAATACCTGTCTTATAGTTGTAACAAAGTAAGCACATCCTGATAAAACATGCAAAAGCAGACATTGTGGTAAGCAAATGAGCCAGAGTGATATTAAAAACAGCCAGGTGTAGATGTGCCATGGTCCCACAGGTTACACCACCTGCAGCTCACACATTAACCAGTATCTAACTACACTTTGGCCAATGTTGAACTCATGGAAATAAAGGTAGGAGGATGAATACAGAGCAGCACCTTTGGCAATTGTCAAATACAACTCAGACATGCTGCCTTTGGCTAAAAAACAATGTAAACAAAGTAGGGAATGGAACAACACTTTTCCTGTTTCCAGTATTTAGTTTCCATGCCTTTGCCTTTTAGTTTAATTTAAAACAGCAAGGCTTTGACTTAAAACAAATGCATTTTTTTAAGTAATGGTTTACTTTGGACAGTTTCTGAATGTTGTCTCACATGAGCAGGAATTAACAAGTGTTTCCATGTTGCGGTGCCAGTGGTTATGGTCCTTTTACATGGGCTGAACTCAGCCTTATGTTGGCGTGGGTTCTTAGTTTTTCTATGGATGGTTCCACCCACTTGGTCGAGGTACCAAGTGTGCCGAGTCACGCTGAAGATTCGATGTCAAAGAACTGCAGCCCATTGATTGGTCAGAGTGTGACATTAGTCATGAGAGCATCTCTGTCATCAATTGGGCCCTTCCAAAACCTTGCAACCGCAACATTCGAGTTGGTAATTTACTTATTAAAAAAATACATAATGCATCCATTAAAATGGCAATGCAGTGGTACTATGAAGAGGTACAGATGTTTCCTTGCTTGTTGTCTGATGACAGAATTCAGAGGTAGCTGTAATAAATGAACTTTATTTACAGGCGCTCACTGACAGAGGAAAACTATGGCCTCTACTTGGTTACATCAGTTTTGGAAACGATGGACACTGGTAAGTGTTTTGTGACTTTCTTTTATTTACTCGTTGGTGCCAAGTTTCAGACGGTGGTGTATATTAGTCAGGTTAAATTAGGGCAAAGCAAGTTGTGCTGAGACTGGACAATGTAAAAACAGTTTTTGAGAGCTGTCCTTTTTTTACCAAGCTGGCATCTAAATGAGTGAAGATACTGTATTTACAAACATATTAYGGCTGCTCGATATGAGGAAAACCTGCCATGTGCAATAACCAGGCTTAATATTGTGAAGACGATATGACTAGCAATAAATGAACTAATACATTAGTATGTAGTGTTGATGTCTTTCTGCTCTGGGTTCAGAACAGGAAAACAACTAATACATTGTTTCCATTACAACATGAAAGTTTTCTTTTAAAGTGCAATGAGACATTTGTTGTTTTAGCAGTGAAACAAGAAAACTACAAGCAATACAGTTTCTTAATGACTTCAAAATTTTATCCTCAGAAAACATTTTCTGATGCTCTAAATACTGAAAAATGCCTCTTACTATCAATTATTTTTATAAAGATAAAAACATCTGAAATTAAGTTAAGTTAAAATAAAAGTTAAAACTTAATTCCAACTGTAAATCCTCTCATTGCAGTTGTCCAACCTTTTCTCCACTGACCAAGTGGTTATTATTTGATGTGGTATCTCTGGTCTATTTTGTTTATCAGACAGATGCTGACAAAATGCAAGAATGCAACATTTGAGGCAAACACTTATTGCAGTTTACCAGTTTTTTTTGCGATATGCCTATTGCACAGGCCGTTACTGCGATGATAAATTTACGATACATTCTGCAGCCCATACATATTTATACACACACAATTACACATCATGCTAATTTTTTTAATGGTGATTTATTTATTTATCTTTCATTTTTTGTTAATTTCAAATAAATGAAGAACTGAAATGTTTAACAAGTTAGTGCATTCACTCTGACACTATTAAACACACCTTTTTCTTTTTATCTCCATCTCTTAAAATGTGTTAACAAGTAACTACAAATCGTGCTCCTGATCTGGCTGCTGTAGAAAGCTACCTGACGCTTTCTGAATACCTCAGACTCACATAATGAGATGCCAGAGCAGCGATGCCCACACTTTCACTATGCAGATGTGAAAATCGATCACCTAAGACTTCCTCTCTCCAACAATTATATCCTGTTTTCCTCTGTGCATGCTCTCTCAGTCTGGCCACTGCCCAACCCAAAGAAGCCAGGGTCAGGCAGGACTCTGGCTGAGTTAGCTGAGCGGAAAAAAAGAGGAAATAGTAAGCAATTACCTTAAAATTTGAGGGTTATGCTCCTGCCTCTTTTCCCTTGATTAAATTTTGGCATGTGCCCCTCATTAGATCCGATCCCCTACCACTGGGACAAGATAATCACTGATTAACCTCTGCTAAAGAGGGCTAATCAAAAGAGTGAGCTTTTAGGCTTAAAAAGACAAGCAGAGCAATTCAACACAATATTTATTTGACCAGAGTTGACTATTTTGCTTAGTATTGTAGAAACAAAGGGTCAATTACAGCTTTTTTTATGTGTAGTCCCTCCATTAAAGTCTCAGTTTCTGCAGAATCTATACACTCTAAAGGCCTAAACTAAAATGAACTGAATTCCTGCATCATTTGAATCATTTATGAGCATCAGAGTATAAAAAGCTTATTTTCAACAGACTTTGATTTATAGTTCAATAATTTGAGGAATTTCAAGTGAGAAAGTGTGCAAGCAATACTACAGATAAACTTAACAGTAACAGTTAAAAACTAAGATTATTTATTTTTTATTTTTAACAAACATTAAAATAAAAAAGACCAAGACAATGCTGTGCTGACTTTTAAAGAGTTATCTACATCTACATTACAACTAACATGTGGCTCCACTGGTTCAGAGAGCACCAACAATGCTAAACAATAGTAGTTAGTTAATAATATCACATGACRCCAGCAGCTGTGGTAATCATCAAGGAATAATGAGTAAACACTTGCAAGTTTGAACAAAAGGAGATTTTCCTGTTCTGTGTACTCGGCCACAACGCCTGGATGTAGCCTAAACTTTAATCACCTGAGCATTACGGAGGTTCGGTACTGCCAARGTTCCCACTGCGGTTATCTCTGATACAATCGCAAAGCTTGTCCTGGCCTGACCACTTCAAGCCTCCTACTATTGGGCCAGAGGTGGAGGTAAGCCTGTTGGCTAAAACCTTTTATGTAATTAAAGCGCAACCAGAGTGAAATCCGAGAAAAGGCACAATCTGATCTTAGTCTGGACTGTGTTGCTTTAATTTAGGCATTCTTTGACTCTCTACACCCTGTGTGCACTGATAGGTCATATTTAATGACCAATTAGAAAAATTGCAGCTGTGAACACAATACTGACAGACATTATTAACATTGAATTAAAAAAAAAAACCTAATAAACCACTGGAGCAGAGACAAGTCTGCACACATGAAGAGGCCTTGGCTTTGCTAGTTTATACTCAGTCTGAAGATTCAAAAACTAAAAACAGGAGGAGTAAACGTCTGCTGATTAACTCACTAAACAGCTTTTTGGTTCTTTTCATTGTTCTATTCTCTCCAAACCTAATACTTTTATCAAATTATCTTTAAAATGCAATACTTGAGCTGAAGCAGAAAAAAAAAACAAAGTTAATGTAGCATATCTGAATAGCCTATATAATGTCTCAAAGTGCTAGTCCTCCTCAGTGCATGCAGTTTTGTCCCTGTCCTCGGGTCAAATAAAAGAAGAAAAGGGGGTATACACACAGTCAGAGGCAGATTGGGAAGTCCACGTACCCCGATGATAGCATTCAGCTCAGTCATTGTCACCTGCTTAGCTCGTTCAACAGCCTGAGCCACCTGCTGTTGATGCTGCAAGTCACAAATGCAAAAGATTAGTCATGATACAAAAATCACATCATTTAATAAAAGTTCACTAGTTCTCAAGTCTTTATAAAAAATGATACTTCAGCTGAGAAGAAAGCATATCATTGTTAAATCCTTAAATTCACACATAAAACCATTTATACAATGGATCTGTGGAGCTGTACAGCAAAATGATACAGAACAACTGTACAACAACTTGTACAAAGCTTTATAATTCCACAAGAACTTCAAATAATTACAGTCAATATATATATTTTTTCCTTTACATCTAAAATGGTTAATCTATTAATATTTTTGGGGTGCAGCTAATAAGGTTAACACTCACCTCTTGTGACAAGAACGGCATGATCTGAGCCAGAATTGCATTGAGACGTTTGGCGATTTCAGTCTGTAAGGGGGAAAAAAGGAAAAAAAAATTAGAATAGCAACCTCCCATTACACAACAGATAAACTGATGAATTAGCTAAAAAAACATTATTGTTTGCAACGTCCAGCAGGGTCAACCATGTATTTCTAACTAAAGTGGGACCGCCCAGGAACAAATTCACCATCCCACCCACCCCCTCTTGCATCCATTAGGTTCAAGGCTTTATTTCATTAGGAGGCTGAAATATGCTAATACCATCTGGCTGGAGAGAGTCTAATGAGGTCCATACTTCATAATTACAGCCCATAAAGAGGGGGGTAGGGCATGCTACAGCAGACAGGTTAACTCTCTTGCCTTATCTGTCAGAGGAATCTTTGGTATCGACCACATAATATTAGCTGGCAGAGTAAGATGATACTGCGAGGCTTTATGTTCACGGAGCACTTTACAGAGCTGCATTTAGACAAATAGATGTGCTGCACTGCCCGTCTACTGCACTTGAARGTCCCAAGACATTTTGAGCAAGCCAATTTCCTTTTCCTTTTTAAATTCTGCTCTTTCTACATAGCTGTGGAAACTGAGAAGAGGAGGACAAAAGTGGAAAGCAGAATAAAAGAGCACGGACAGAGCATGTGAGAGGTGATGAATGGCAAAGTGAAGCCCTCTGATTTGACACGAAGGTAATGTGGTTTGACTGAACAGGAGGAGGTGAACTAATTGATTCCAAGAGATTAGGGGTGGAGGCCCAGCAGGTGTGTGTGTGGGTTGAAGAGGTCCTTCCCGCCATTTTATACGCTGCCGCATTCCACTCATTTACTCCCTTAACCTTGTTTGACTGTGTAAAGGGGAGGGAGGGGAAACAGGAGGTGCCATTAGCGTTCAGCAAAATCTCTGTGTCCTTTTATTTTGTAGGGGGAGACAGGAAAAGGGGGGAAAAGAGGGGGAGGGGAGGAGAGGAGCAGACCTTCGCTGTCCTGTCAGGAATTATCTCACAACCCCCATCTGACCTCAAACACACTACGCTTTCTCCTCGCCGTCATCCTCCAAGAGCTTCTTCACACCCCCTTGTACTAATCTCCACTATTCTCCTTTGTGCTCTCTCCCTACTTTTTCCTTTCTCTCATCTTCCTCTCTTCTGTTGCTGGGGCAACACTATCTGGCATGGCTTATCGTTATGTAAATTGGACAGGGGCTCTGACCAGAACAGCCTGTAAAATCATATTAGGCGCAGCACAGAGGCAGGTCATTAAAGTGAATTTTCGGCCTGTCGATCTGATCGGCACGGGAAATTAATGAGGGATAACTGGAAATAGGGAGGAGGGTAGGGGGCTGCACCTGGGGGTAAGCTGAAAAAAGGGAGGGGTGGGATACTCTTTGGGGACTCATAAAGCATCATCATTAGTGGGGGTTGTACACAATGACACCAACGGGGTAAGAGTGTTTTAGTGTTACACTGAAATAGCTGCAGGGGGAGCAGCATGGGGTTTGTGGAAACAGCTGTATGCTGATATTCTGCTATTAGAGCAACATCACAAGCCCCCCAGATACACGGGAAGGAAAATCACCACTTCAGAGCCACCATTGGAGCTCAGAAACATATGCAAATTTTAAGCGCATTTTGCCTTTTTTGTTGTTGTTTAATTGTTAGTGTATTGTGCCACATAAACAATAAAAAAGTTTTTTCAGGCACATATGARAAAAGTCAAGCTGAGCTGGTGCTTAGGATTTTTATATGAAACAAGTTACCCTTGCATCAGTTTTTCTTTACACATTTCTTACTAGGAATGTGACAGCTTAGACAATATGAGGGCAAACAAGATGCACTTTAACCTGGAAATATACACCAGAAACCCTTATTGCTTGTGACAAGTCATCTGGTGACACCGCTCTGTTCAGAGTTCAGCCCATGTAACAAGAGCAAACAGATGTACAGTGTTTTTTGTAAAATAAATAAAATAAATTAAACTGACTGCTATTTTTAAAAGGGAAACATGAAGATAACATTCAATGAGTCACAGCACTGACAGTGACTCCCACTTTATTTTGAAGAATCCATTTTCCACACTGCTTTTCAGAAGCAGACACAGAAAGAGTTTATTGTCACTTAAAGCTGCTGAAAACAGAGGCCTTTGAGCTCGCAGAGGCTTTTCACTGCAACTCCACTATTACAGGTACTCAGCTTAGTCTAGTAGCTCCAGAGCCTTGAGAGGCTYGCTCTCTCCATTGCATCCCTCTATCAATGGTGTGTTGAAAGCCGTTTGGCTGTCTGTCGCTCCAGGCATTAGCCCCCGAGTGGAGAGTATTCTCTGATGAGCATTCAATTGGCGAGGAAAACAAGTGGCATATGATGGAAGGCAGAGAYGGTTGTTTGGGAATTATCTTCTCAGCCAGAACCAGGGAAGAAAGAGGCACTTAGAGGTACCTTGTTCATTACAAATGCATGAGGAAGATTTTGCATGTGCATGTCTATTTTGAGTCTATAAAAAAAGGGATATGACACGCTTTTCTGCAACGAAACATTTGGAAATGAGCTGTTTTCAAACAGATTACAACTGATATCATTATAGCTCAAGTCATGTTGGCAATCTATCTATACGTTAATTAAAAGTCTGCAGCATCTATACACTGGCATCCACATGGTAATTTCTGCCACTAACTTGTTAACGCGCACACACCCAAACATTTATTGTATCGCACCACTTTACCACCTTTTCTTGCCTGACTATCAAAATAAAGGCTGTCTCACACCCTCCAGTAACCTCATCAACTTCTCCTGAGAGTGCGAGTGTGTGTTCTCCTCGTCAGTTTGTTTTGGCTTTGAGATAGATCGACCATCATCACCTTGGCAAACAATTCCAGGAATCCTGTATAAATTATTCATTTGCACAAGCTCTGTTTCTCTTTTCCCCTGATCCTCCTTTCACCTTCTTCCTTGAGGAAACAGACATGATCTTCTTGATAAAGCCCACTTTTTCGTCTTTCCTTCAGTCATTCAACAAGTGAGGAATTGGACAAGCAAAGCACAACCACAACAAAATGGCGTCCAAAGGTTAAGTGAAGCGGAGTTGTGCAGGCAAACAGAACAGRAAAGATAGTTTCACAGTGACTCCTTGGGATTAATTTATCTTTTCAATTCACATTGCTTGTGACTTGCCAAAGCGGGAGACAAAATTAAAATGTAGGCAAGCACGCAAGCGATAAACAGGGACCACAACAGAGAACAGAGGTACTAAAAAAAACTAAACAAGGCAACCCCCACCACACCTACAACACAGTCAGCAGGGCATGTTGCTGAGGCAGCTTAATGAGCTGCGCTAATTAAAATCACTTATTGACAGCAAGCAAGGGTGATTACCTCCACCCTGCACTTTTTGCCATCATAAGAGACACTGTCAAAACAAATTACCTCCCGGCAGCCACACAGATCCCTTTCATGACAACCACTCAGCTCTGCAGCAGCACAGGGAAAACGGAGCGTCTGCAGGAACCTCAATTACAGCATGTTTGTGTGAACAGACACAAATAGTGTTTTCATGCTAGGGATATTTATATGTGCATATGTGCACATGTTTATGCCCCTTTTTAATCCAGCTTTGTTGGGGTAGCAACAAAGTGAATTTCAAATTATATATATATATATATTTTTTTTCTTTTTACAGTGCGATAAAATCTTYAATACAAGCAAAGTAATATACTTGCCTGCATTCAATAATCCATCCCTCCTCTCTTTTCGTATGAATACAGAGACAGCTAAGGGCTGCCTTGTTTACCTCTCGCTGATGTCATCACAAACACTTGTTCATCAGGGAGAAAAAGGAGGAAGGGTGGCAGGAATAATAAATTATTCAGAGGGCTCTCCACTGGGCTTATTGACAAACAAAGGAGATGCACAGGACAAGTCGATTAACCCATTTACTCCAAAGCCTCTTCAGACTCCATCCACCTTTTCTCCCCCGCCTGTTTTGTCCACCAGTATTCATCCACAACAGGCAGCTCCACCCCTCCATCATATGCAGCTTCAACCTCCTTATTGTTGATAAGTGGCTGACAGAAAAACTCAAGAATGTGGACGGGGGGTGGGCAGGTTTGGCTCTTTGATAAGTAGAAAACACACCTTGTTAGTGCGCGCACACACACACACACACACACACACACACACACACACACACACACACACACACACACACACACCACGTGCCAACGAAAACGTCAACAGCAGATGAATTGAGCAGTGTGCTGCTGTTCCAACTGGGCCACCCTCCCACTGATGCCATTAACCTTCTGGATCTCAGGGCCTCCACCCCGCCGCCATTCGTCTCTGCCTCTCTCACAGACTCCCACTCTCATACATCATATCGCACAACTAATGACACAAGGGCCATCATTCACATCACCCCACTGGGTGGTGGGGAAGGGGTGGGAGGGGCAAGCAATGACAAGGGGGGTGGGGTGCTGAATGAGTGTGTCTAAATCAAAAAATGTAAATGGAGGATAGAGAGTAAAATGAAGGAAGTAGAAATAAATAGAATAAAAGAATAAAATAATTTTCTGGGAGTTTTACACAAATGACTGAAAATCTTTGGTGATATCATTACAACACAGAGTTGATCTGTAGTTTATTAAATTTTTTTTCAAACCTGCAATTTGAGTTTTAGAGGAAAGGTATTTTTCTTTCAGGTCAGTCTTGCCTAAATTAGATCATCTGTTCAAGCTTGTTTCTGATCAACTTGAAGTTCTCAGTTAGATTACAGACAGCTAAATTTATACCTTTGATATGGAGCACAAAAGTACCCGCTGAAGAAGAGTTCATAAAATACCTTCACAAATTTTACAATCACGTTAATAATTTACTGAAAAAGTAAATAAAAACAAATAAATAAYCCTCTTAACTAAAGTAATCTGCAAAACACAATATTCTAACAATCTCTAATATGACTCAAACTAATATTTTTTGTTTACTTTAAAAATGTTATTTAAAATTTATGGATGCAAAAAGTTGCTCTTTGCCTTTGTGACACATTTATAAAAATGAAACTACAGAAAGGAAGTTCGTAAAATGTTGAGTTCATCAGAGGTGACTTACTCTGAGAGCTAGGTACTGTATGCAACAATCATTTTTCATGCATCAGATTCCAGCGATCAAACATGAAACGTCAGAYGTACAACATTCATTAAAACAATCTGTTGACATGAAAGTGGTTATCGAGTCATAGGGAATAATTAACATTATATATATTCTACTACAACTGCAGAATTTGTTTATTTCTCAACAAATTTTTAACAAAGTTGGAATTATTTTTGCATCTAATAAAATGGGTTTTAGAAAGATTTGAGGACTTTTTTGTCACATACCTACAAAAGGGGACATTAAACATCTGATTACAGAAAGGCAGATTCCAATAMGTCCAGTAAACTCTGAGTATCTTAACTTTGAACTAAGCATACGCACACTGGAGTACCAATACCTCAACACACCCTTTGTGACTGTTTAAAATTGAAACAAGTTCATTTTTTTATGTTTTAATCTCTAATAAAGAGCAGAGATGCAAAATTCTGCTGTTGCAATATTTTCTTTTACAGAACATTGTTTCTAATTTTATACATAAAAACCACTACACTGACACATTTAAAATGTTGTGCATAAACATTGTTGGATTGGGATTAGACATTTACACAGTTTACTTGGATTGTTTTATATAAAACACCACCTTGTACTAATCAGTGGTGTCCAACCCTGGTCCTCGAAAGCTATTATCCTGAATGTTTTACTTGTTCCCCTGCTTCAGCACACCTGATTCAGTGACTGAATCACCTCTTCAAGTTCTGCAGACATCTGTGAATCACCCATTCATCCAAATCAGGTGTTGGATAAACCTCTAAATCATACATGATAGTCTTCAAGGATCAGGGTTGGACACTTCCTGCTGCAACTAAATGTCAAGTTCACAAACATTACTTCTCTTATTAACCTGCAGCTAAAACACTGCTGAAATAATATTTTCAAGACTATTATACTCCAGGTTAACAAGCTAGCAAAAGTAACGAAACATGGCAGGTGAGCTGATCAAAACTTAAGAATCCGACCGCAACCAAGCCAAGTCAYTTTTGTTTGGGAACTTTTATTTCCTCGTAGCTTTCTACAGGAAGGAAAAGTTAATTAGGMTAATTATGTCTCTTGCTTGTTGATTATCATTTATCATCTTGTCCTCATTCTCTCCAAAAGTAGTTTTTTGATATTTGCATCACATCTTATACCTGTTGTTGAGGAAAAACAATTTTCTTTCTTTAAACTTTAGGCAACTAAAGACAAAATTATAGATTTTTTTCCTAGTTGTCAGGTTAACATACAGTACCATGAATCCAGTCTCATACAATGTAACCGGTATGGAAGCCAAAATTATGAAGTGCAGTTTGTCCCGAGGGCAGTTTTAGTCTGAGGAATGTACTTAATAATGATAAGTGTTCTTACCAAATGAATCAGAAGCACATAGTTGTCATGTTCACACACTTATCTACTGCTGCTTTAAAGTCAAATTTCATAAATCAACCCAGAAAACAATAACAAGGTTAAAAAAATAATATGACAATGAAGTAAACACTTATTTTATCAGAAAAATATCAGTATGTTACTTTGTTGGGTTTGAAGCTAGCTTTAACTAATCTCCCTACATGATGAACCTAAAAATAACAGCTGAACGCAAACTGATAAAGAAAACGTTTTCAAATTAAAGTGACGTGTTCTGATTATTTTAATCTTTCTGCCACCCAGTTCCACAGTGGTGTAGAACAAACTGTAGATATTTTCTCATTATCCATCTGCAGGATGCCTCGTACAGGGTGGCAGATACACTAATGAGCTCTTAGCCTCACTGGCAACAAGGATGCAGACAAAACAGCACCGACATGTACGGTGTTTGCACACAAACGCACACTTAGAAGTACAAATCACTCACAAACACACTCTAAGACTGCCTGCCAAATACTTCACCTTAATCTTATCAAACCACCCCGTCAGGCAGTGTGTCCTCACTACTATTTACCCTGTCAGCATTTTTTACTACAAGGAGCCAGCATGGGCATGTCTCTTAAAAGGTATTATAAGGAGAAGAGTAGAAACTAAGGTCAGGTGTGCATGAACACATTTATAGTTCCCAGACATAAGAAAAAAAAGTGTTTTACACACACACATCATCTGTGGTATGGCTACATACCTGTTTGTGCATCTCAATGTTGAGCCCATAGGACATCTCATAGTACTGTAAAACAGAGGTAGAAATATAAAAGCATTAAAATACTATGATATACTTTAAATGTAGACATCTGGATAGAAATCCCAATTAAATCTAGACTCATTTTAATAAAACGCTGAAAAAAACAATAGTTGTTAAAGGCACACTTAAGGGACTTTTAAGAACACCTGAACAATAATAAAAAAAAATAAGTTCAATTATTTTCAAAACTGGTGACTCACTCAAAAATACACTGCCATTAACCAGAAATGTTAATGATTTCATGCCCTGTTGCTTCCACAATAACGGAACGTGTGTTTTCACTTGTTTGACGTCATCTTTAAGCACAAACAGAACCTATGATCTCAAAAACCATGAAGGAACATAATATTATCTGTGACTGATTTCTCAAAGCTAAACCCACCAATAGATCCAAATGGAGGTGTCATTTGTCTTGTTTGTTAAACACACAAATACACACCACCTTCCACTGATTATAGATACTCCCACCATCTTGTCCGTCGATAAGATTTGTAACAACTGGTTGAAGCAATTYCTTTCACACACAAACATGGAAATCATGTTCATACACAACACAGAGGTTGCATCACTTCTCATAAAGACTGTTCTTTCTTCACACACAGGATAAAGAACCTTGGAGCTGGACTGTATTTATGAAGGTTTCTTTGCCTCCAGCCAACTCTAAATCTAATGTGGTGTATCAGTTTTATTGAAATATTTTTAACCCTTTATCGCACTTTGACAGCCAGCAGGTGTTTATCTCAGTTCTTACATAAGAACTCAATAAGATGGTGAAAGCACGGGAACATGTGCCCAACAATGTGCTTTAGTTTTTAGTAAACTCTACAAATAAGTGAGCAATAGTTTGTTTGCTATGGAGGTACGATCCCAAAATCTGATCCCGCTATCAAATTTTTTGCATTGGGAAAGATGAAAATAAAACTATTTTAGGGGGTTTAAAAGTTTAACTTGGACAAAGATGGCAGGAACTGTGTTTCTGAAAGAGCTTTGTGGGATTATTAGAAGGCTCTGGAGCAGGGTTGGCTCAAAAATGCTGTTACTCTGCAGAATGTGTGATTATCTAATAGGCCGTGAGTTTATTTACATGTAGTGTGGTTAACTGAAATCTGATCACCAGAGGTCACTCAGGACCCATGTGGTGAAGCACTGAAGAAGCCAGTTCTGCACATGTACTTATAAAGAGCGGTCCATTTGTGAACCAATCAGCAGCAGAACACAACAGCCTCAGAGTCTGAGAAAAGCTGTGGGTGCGAAACAAGTTTCACTTTATGGAGTTGATTTTATTAGAACTATAAACAAAAAATAAATAAATAAACACACACACATACAGGAAACCCACTGATTCAGGCACAAAACCCAGAATCGACTCCTGGTGGGGTCATGTTGGGTGTGCGAGAGGTGGGCGTGGGGAAAGGGTCAAAGAGAGGAGCCACAGATGTGGGGGCGGGGGCGGTCAACACACCCCCATAATCAATGGCTGGACATTTGACCTCAGCTAGAATTTCAGCTGCCCCCTCCGCTCACCCCCACCCTGTGCCTTCTCATCCAATGAAAACACGAGTGTGAGTCAACGATCTAACAAGATCTTTGAAAAACAATCGGGCTGCACCACCTGTGACTGTTCACCTGAGGCAAAAAGGAAGGGCAGGGCTTTAAATCACCGTCACAGATTTACAATTCTTACACTCACCATGACATAGTGACGCTGCATTTCTGTCTTTTCGTTGGCCAGTTTATCGTACTCCACTTTGAGACTTTGTGGAGGAGAGAGGGAGAGACAAATAATGTTATCTATAGACAGTCAGACATTGGAAAGCAAACAATTTGATAAGGGATGCAACTTAAACAAACGTCTAGCACGTTTCATTTGATAAAAGTCGTTTTGATGCTGAAGCAAAAACAGTAGCAGCTTCCTCTTCCTATTGTTGCCAGGAAGCCACCGCTGTTTACAGTCGAGCAGTCGTTACCTGTGGTACTGGGCCTGCAGGAACTGAAACTCGTCTTTGATCCGATCGCAGGACTCTGCCACTGTGAACTTGAAGCCAGGCTGGCCTGGCTGGTGAGGTGCCTGAAAAGTGCAATTGTGTGATTACCACAAGTGGAAATAACATCTTCTCTCTCGCCACCTTCCTTTTTTTTTTTTTTTTTTTCTCAGTAAATTTAGAGATTTGCCTTCTGGTGGTTTGTCCTTTCATGTCTCYGGTGCCATAACAGGGTAATAGAGGAGGGTAGCTTTGGTTTTTACTCATCATGAGTTATCTCAAATGGTTACCACTTAATATTGCATGGTGACYATAGCTAGTTTTAGTGCATAAACAGCCCTTTTAGGTTGTTAGAAACAGAACAAAACGTACCTAAATCCACCTATAAGGAACCCTGCTGCAAATAAACATCTCCCAGTTTCCCTCCCGCCCGTGTGAAACGATTCAAAGCWTTATAAATAGCAAGGTGTGGATCAGCAGCTCCATTCACAGCTAATGAAGTTATTTTTGAAGGGTGGTTTATTTGCATCAATTTACAAACAGTGCCAAAAGACAGCTACTTACCGGATGCCGGCCTTGTGGATACATGATGAGTTCTTTACACAAGGGAATCAATGTGTTGTTATTTTCCTCCGCGCTCTCTTTACGGTAATCCCAGAGAAGGTGCGGTAAATCGCCGCCACCCCCTCCCCAGTACGTGCAGGATGGCGGCGGACAAACAAAGCCCTTTTTTCGGGTTAAGCGCTCTCTCGAACCCCGGCCACTGGAAGTAGTACCAGGTATTCAGTCTCTCCTTTTACCTAAACAAATTTTAAAATGAAAAAGAGCACRTTGAGGAGCGAAATCAAGTAGCTAAGCACAACCGAGAAGGTTAAAACAGTCTAAAATGAAAATGAGATCGTGTGTGATGCTTGTAGTAACTCTTCATCCCTAACCATCCGCCTCATTTGCGTTACAGCGAGCCAAACAACATAACCGAGTTTGATCTCGTTTAGCAAATATATCACAAAGTTTGCACTTTTCACAACACCCGCAACGACACAATGGTTCATTTTATGCTTCTACGTCGGATGAGTTCTTTCCCATAAGAGGAAAAAAAACAACCATGGGTGTTTTTGTAAGGTCCAGCGAGCTGAGAAAACAAGGTGCTGCGTTCAAAGTCGGCTCCATGAAGACACACCACCCGCCTTGTTAGTGTCGCCCTTTTTACCTTTGTCTCGACAGATTCCTCCCCTCCTCGGCGCAGGTAATAAATAAATCCACAACGCTTAAATATATATGACACGGGTGAGAAAATGTCTGTCGTCGTTTGAGGGTTTTCTTTTTCCCTTTACACGACGTCTTCTTTTTGGGGCCCCTGAGAGTCCTTAAAGCCCGGAGATTCCGAGGAGGAGAGCGTCGCTCCGGTCCTCTCTGTCGGACGCTGGAAACCCCTCGGACCAGGACGAGTTGTTAACCACAAACAAGTTGGAAAAACAAAAGCGTGTGTTAGATCCAGTTAGCGGTACGCGAACCTGCCGGAAAGTCCCGGTATTAAAAAAAAATTAGCGAGTAAATCAGTTGTTTTTGTCAAAAAAAAAAATGTCGACCGTTGTGAAATGCACCGCCAGCCTTTCGTTGGGTACTCGGTTCCTCCGCCGCGCGCTGTACCACACACAGACTGTGCACTAACACGAGGACCTCACTGCCGAGAGGGGGCTCCGAACCAACCAATCAGACACCACGAAGGAACCCAGCGCTCACAGCCAATCACAACACGCAGGGCCCCACGTGGGGTGACTTAAAAACAGGCGTTCTGATTGGACGGTAAACGTGTGACTTCACACGGTCGCCATTTTGGATGCGAAGTGACATTCTTAGCGTTCAACAACTTGTTCAAAACAACGATAATAATATATATGTTTGTCGAGTGCTGCAAGCCAGCGACTTCCATACAGAAGACGTCTATCAAACCCCGTCCGTTTAAATCTACAGCTTTAATACACATAATTATTCACGCTATACTCTCCTTATTTGCAGTGTTTTATTTGTTTAAGCGATTATAAAAGAATATGATGAAAGCTTAAATGATTTCAAAGCCTTGCATGTTTGAGGTCCTGTTTCTACAGTCAAACTGAAAAACACGGGGAGCTGGCAAAACAACAGGAGTTCCTCTTATGCTTAAAACAATACAGGAACATTGACACGTATTAGAAACTCAAAATGCTTAGAAGAAAGAAATAAACCTTCGACAGTAGAGTCCTTTGAGTGACTTGAATTGATCGACCTATTTCTAACGAGACCTCAAGCGTCTACAAGCTTTCCTATCAGCATCAATAGTTAGGCTACAACACGTCGGTGCAGCAGCCTATCACGTGTTGCTCAGTATGCCTGCCCCCCACGTGGGTCCTCTGCGCCCGCCTCGTTTCCTTCTGCCCAATGGCGTCGCGGCTGTCCGCCTGTGCTGCTTCCTATTGGCTGCTCACTGGAAACGCTGTCAGTCATGAGCTCCAGTTGTCAATTAAACCCACGTTGGGTACGGCGCTGACAAATGCCTGTGCTACTCTCCCTCCTGCCTGCGAACAGTGCCTGGAATGGCTGCTTAATTAGCTTCGAATGGCTTTTCCTTTCAGCTCAAACAATCTGTCACTACCATGTGGTAAAAAGAGCCCTGCATAAAACAAAAGCAGGAAAAAAAAAAGCCAGTAGGGGCTTAAATATCAGTTTGGTTCTACCCCCCCACCCCCTTCTTCAACCCCTTCATGAAAACATTTGCTGCAAAACAAAGCTTTTACCTCACTCAGACATTGGCTCCTTTCACTCATATGCCTCGGCCCTCAGTTTTCTGCATTTATTTGTTTATCTGGGAGTCCATTTAGGCCCTTCATGTTTTGATTTAAGAACAGGGTTTTTAGCATAGGCTGCATCAATCTTGGTTCAATTTCCTGGTTTATTGAGGTATTGATTAAAGTTTAAATTTATTAGGTTTAAAATTAAGATATATTCATTTTGTAATGTTTTCTCAATGGCAAACAATAATGTATTCCTATTTGAAGAAGCGGCACATTTGAGGTTATCAGTGGATTTTTTTAATAAAGAACAGACAAAAAATGCTAATGAAATGAAGGAAATTATAGATAATGGGAATGATTTTGTACTTCTCAATTTTGAAGATGATAACAAAAAAATATAGGCAAATGCTCCTGGGTACATTCTGTTCCTCTTTACCCCAACTAAATTTTGCAGCATTTTCTGATATTTGAAGCACAATGAGTGCACAAAAAAAAAAAAAGATTTGGACAGGAGCTAGCATGCTGCATGCTCCGGCTGTTGCCTAGCAACAAATGCATCCCTCCTGCAGATGTGGCGACATCAGTTGGGATAATAACTCATGTACTGAGGGGATGTCAGTGAGTGACACACTCAAGGGGAGACTTTAAAGAAGGGTTTCACACAAAACCTCTCCTAATGATAAACTACTCTGGTAAAAGTCACAATCACAGACCTCAGAAAAGCRACAGCAGACACAAAATGACACACAATAACTCACTACTCTGCTTCGTAAAAGTCCAAACTTCCCGAGGAAACACTGCTAGGTCTCAGCTCAAAGAAAGAATCACTGGTTTATGTGTTGTTGTGGCAGGCACTCTGAATGAGAATAATAGGCATCAGGTAAAAGGCAAGGACCTCTTATCCTTCTGTAAACATTTAGCCGCAATCAGTTTTTATGTTGGTGGGATGTTTTATATCCCTTAGGTATTAAGTGCAGAAATTCATAAAATAAAAASTAAGATTTTCACACTTTATTTTTCTCATTTTAATGGTTATARTGGCTGCGTTTCCATTGCAAGTGTGCACAAAACTTTGTTGACATGCTAATGTCGAAAAAACACAGTTTCACAATTGCGGTGTTTCCATTAGGTAAGAAATGCTATTAAAGTCACAGGTTAATAAATTTGTTCTCGCAATAAGTCATTACAAACATGGTGACAACGGATGTAAACACATAGCATATTGCTACCACAACACTAGCGCTCATCATCAGCCATCAGAGGAGACGTCGGCGTCTTATTGAGGCTTTCGAGCAAAAAGCCCCTCATCCTTGGGAGCAGCTACGAATGCAGCCTTATTGGGAAATTACAGTCATTGATTTTACTACTTTCTTTTACTACTTCGGTGATTTTACTACTACTTCTACTTCCTGTTGTCTTCTTCGTCATCCATTTCACCAGTAGAAACATCCGGTTGTTGATCATGTGACTCCCATGATGCGAAGAAAAAGTGCTTCCATTGCAGTTTTGCAAAAAACACCAATTTCTATACGGCCAAAAAAAAAAAAAACCCACCTCATCCTAGCGCAAAACCATTTTGTCAAAAAACAAGTTTTTTTCAAAATTGACGTGTTTCCATGAAGCAAATTTATTTTTGAAATTCCAGTTTGCACATTTTCACGGTCAATGGAAACACAGTGTCTGCAAGATAAAAACTGTATGCAAATTTTGCAACCAGATGCCAGCCGTCATGTTTGTTTGTTCACCTACAGAAACAGCTGAAATGACTAAAAATAGGTCAATGATGGGAGAGGCATTTGGGATGGAGAATTCTGACAGTTTTGATGTGTTGGCATGTATTTACACAGTGACGCTCAGATTTGTTAAGTGAAGAATGCAAATAGGTGTGTTAAGTCAGCATTACTTTAGTACAAGCTATAGATGTTGACACAGACATGAAAAGCAAAGATCCTGAACCTGGGCCAACCCTTGTCTGGCCTATTTCAGTCTAGTAGACAACTTATAAGCAGTTTGTAAACATTCGTATTTGGTAAATGATGAAATATTAAACTTATTGGTTTGAAAAAAGTTTCCCGAACTGTGTTTGAATGATGACCTCTGTCTTTATGACACTCAACCCCTTTATCCTCTATATTTATTCCTGTCCTCTTACTCATTTAGCAGCAGATTCTCTCTTATGTCCATCCTTATGTCCATCCATCCATCCATCCATCCATCCATCCATCCATCCATCCATCCATCCATCCATCCATCCATCCATCCATCCATCCAAAGAAATTTATCGGTCATTTACTTACGGGTTCTAAAAGCACAACACCATTTTATGGTTTTCATTTTGGTTTCTATAAACTATTGTGTGACTATTGTTATGCCTTGATTAAAATAGTTTTAGCTACATGCCTGGAGCACCATGACAACACATAGATATAGTTGAATTAAACATAAATAAAGTGATTCTGTTTGAGTGTCTCTGGACTCAGCCTGTAGGAATGTAGTGGGCGGGCCAGATGCTGAAGACACATGATGGTTTGTACTTCCGGGGTTGGGGCTGAACGCTGCTGATGCTTTGGCTTGAAGCATTAAATCAGATTTCAGATCAAGTACTGGAGTGATCTATTCTCTTCACATTTTAATCAATTCAACATTCATGTGGTTTATGCCTGGTTAAGACACGATTTCAGTAAAAGAACACAAATTTCACATGAACATTGGCGACCAATCTTCACTTGACCTCTGACCTGATCTCACTGACGCAGGCAATCTGTGTACTGATCTATGCGTTTGCATTTCAGCATCCTCATTTTATCAAGTTGAACTGGGGTGAAATACCTCAATAATGCAGTTAAAAATGCGGTTCATCTTGAATTAGTAACCTGAGAACAGTAACATTGCTCTGATGTTCCTCTGGACAAATTCAGCATCAATTACCTTATGGCTCAACCTTAAAACAATAAAAGCTGAAGCAAAGTTCTGCATGATTAAATAAATTAAACAAGTTAAAAATATAATTTCATTAAACTAAATCACAATTTATAAAATGCACAAGGACAGGGAAACAAAGATGACCACATTATAGTTGGTAAGTTCAGACTTCATTTGTCTGTTTCGTTGCAAATAACTTAAAGTAATAGTTCAGAAAACGTAAAAAAATAAAATAAAATAAAATGAATGGGTTGAAAAATGTGACCCAAACATAATATAAATATATCTACAAAACACCAGGAGGGACTAAATTAAACTTTTCTGCACTCAGAGACTCCAAGTTCACAACAAAATGTATTTAACAGGTATAAAGGTGGTTTTTGCAAGATGTTCCTTTGAAATTTGTGCCGGTCCAAAAGCAAAGCATTAGAAAGACTCATTCTTCATCAAAAAGGTTGCACTTATTACTTCTACTCATTTATAATTCATTGCAATATTGAACATGCTATAAACATTTTAAATATTTACCAAATTTAATGTTGCGCTACTGTGATACAGTATATTAGGCATCGGCTAGAAAAAAAAGACAAAAATACTGAGTAATTTCCTCTCTGCTTCTCTGCTTGTTGACCTTCAAACACATGTACTCAGAGTGTTTAAGGTCCTGGTTGCATGCGTCAAAACATATAAACACAGACGAGAACAGATGCACAAATTCAGGAGCAGTTTAGGCTCCAAATTTGTGTGCCTTCCTATTTAGTTTCAAAGCACAGCAGCTCATGTGGATCAATGGTTCTCTTCACCACACAGGCTCTTTCTGTAAGTTTTATTTGTGTTTGTTCACGGACAGGTTTCAGCAATATTCCAGCGACGTGTTATCCAGGTCAATTAAAGACCTAAAGGCCCTCAGGTATACAACAGTCAAGTTGTCTGTSTGAACAGTTCCACCTGTTACTCTCGCTCTGGTGTAACACTTTAAATTATGAAGCATCAATGAATGAAGGTTATTAAACT